TTACTGTGGATAAAAAAATATATATATTCTGAACCCCATGTGGATTTACACAAACTGAGAAAGTCAAAAATTGTTACTTTGTGCCCCGCTCTCCCCTACCTCTGTAAATAAATACAATATAAATTCACGTCTCGCGCACTTTAATGTCCTTTGAATGTAACATGTACATTCCATTGGAACTGGAATCATGGCGGAATTTCATGTGAAGTCCACTTCGCAGGGCACTTACGGTCGAATAAGACCATGCTTGAATGCTGCTGCCTGGGCGGGGGTGGTCTCGTTCGAAAGTGGGCCTCTAGACGTACACTCGATTCGCGTTCGAGAGGGTTCCTCGAGCTGAAGGGATCCCCTGAATTTGGTGTGGATTTGCCGCGCCTTTACGGAGATATGGTCAAAGTTTCAATGGTTTTCCATAGACTTAAGCTTTAAAGCGTTTCATCCAGGTCACCAGTAGCGAACAATGGAGCGCGCTCTGCTGGACAAACTAAGTAATTACACCATTTCAAGCATTTTATCTGCGTTATATGTTCTGTAAAAAAAAATGTTCATATCGGCAGCATATTCGCCGATACCGTTATATCGGCGACAGGCTCATATCGGCCGATAATATTGGCAAAACGATATATCGGTCGGGCTCTAGTTAGTTCACCCAAAAATGAAAATTAGCCTGCGTTTTACTCGTTTACTACGTTATTTCAAACGTAATAAACACTTTTCTATCACTTCCGCCATCTGTCATACGCGGAAGGCTTTATTTGATGTAAGACGTCGACGTTGTGTGATTAGTGACGAACGCAGAAACAAAACACTGTTCACAAATTAGAAGCACAAAACGAGGATTTGTAAAGAAAAATGTCGGAGGATTTCGATATAAGCCAAGAGGAGACTCTTTACCTTTGCTGAAGTAAGGAAACTTTGTTTCCTTTGCTCCTGCATTTCTCAGAGGCGTGCGCGCACGACGCGTACGTCTTCCGCTAGAGAAAAGTATTTATTACGTTTGAAATATGGATATTTATCTTACAAAAATGCATGGATTCGCTACAGGAGGCCTTTATTCACCCCCCGGAGCCGTGTGAGGGACGTTTTATTATGGATGTGCGCACTTTATTTCACGTCTTCTGAACTGTTGATAACCGAACACCCGCTTACCCCCATTGAAAGGCTTGGAGGGGCCAGGACAATTTTTAATATAACTCCGATTGGATTCGTCTGAAAGAAGAAAGTCACTTACACCTAGGATGCTTTGAGGGTGAGTAAAACGCAGGCTAATTTTCATTTTTGGGTGAACTAACCCTTCAACCTAGGCTCATTGGAAAAAAATGTGCCTCTACCTTAAATGTAGCTAAATTCAAAAAAACTTACTTGTATGTCCATTTTACTGCAGTTTTCAGCTGAAATAAACACTAACGATAATAAAACACCAACCACCTTTATTACTTTTCACACAAATTGTAATCACATGATAAGATTATTTTTGTGTTTCTTTGCATGACCTCAAATTTTTTTTGATGATTGCATCACAAAACCAGCTCTCTCTCTCTCTCTATATATATATATATGGCCAACCCGATTTCACAAGAATTCGTACATATTTTACGAGGTGGCTAATTTGTACATATGCATACGACCTTGCTAAATCTTACGTATTTTACGAGTTCCCCAATTCGTATGAATTTGTATGAATGAACTACCCCACACCTAAACCTACCGTCACTGGGGTCTAGACAAATCGTACAAAATCGTATGAGTGAGGTCGCACAAATTCGTATGTATTAGCCACCTCGTGAAATACGTACGAAATGGTCATGAGATAGCGCTGTTATGGCTTGTCTGATGTAGTAAACTTGCTCGATACTTCACCTAGTAAAGCATTGCACTTGCGATGCGGAGCGCTCAGGCACAAGTTATAATACTCGAATATATAGAGTGATTTATGGTTTGTGATCAGTCACATTTGTCTTTTTTTGGCAGAGAAAGTGAGTGGGGGGGAAAAAAGTTAAAAAAGGTAAATCTTTAAAAAAATAGTTCATAAAAATTAAGGAATAGTTCATCCTGAAGTTCTGCCAACACCTTTGTTATTGATGCATATTATTTTCTTTTTTTGTGGGACTTTTTTTAATGTTCAGTCATTTGCGCATCTGCTGCCATAATAATGTTAAATTATCTTCATTTGAAAGCTTTTGTCAGCAGATGTTGATATGATTGATTTTATTTGATTATAACTAATGGATTGACTTAATATTTATTCATTAATAATAATATATTAAAATTGATTATGTACAAGCAATATAATTAGATTTAAGAGCTGTGATGGAGAGTTAGTCTTTTTTGATACAAAAACATATCAACATTATAAAGGCTCTGCATAAGTGTTATGAAGCCATTAATATTCTGCTGCTCAAATCTGCTGTTTACATGTGTTTCTCAAAGACAAAGTTCTGTCAGTAAAGCTCATTCTCAGGTTTTATAACCAGGTTTGGTCATGGATGGATGGATGTTGGCAGTAACAGTTTAAAATGGTGGCTAGACGTGATCTCCCCACCCTGATGTCACAGCCGATCTCTCTTTGAATGTTAATCTGCCTTAATCCAGTGTTTTATTTTTTTCTTCTCCCTCTGTTGTATCTCAGTCTCTGTGAGCGCTGCAAAGCCGTGAGCCTGCAGGCGAACAGATGCAACACAGACAGACACATTGCTCTGAGCCAGAGAACCTCAGTGGAGTGTTAGCCCACATTTCAGACTATTGGCAAAGCAAACAAAACTAGGCTAACTCTGGATAAGTTACTTCTGCAATTAAGACACCAAATGTGAAATAATGCAAGAGTTTTAAGTTTTAATACAAGAAATCTGTGGAATGTTTTTCCAATTCTCAATAGTGCTTTTTGAATCATTTGTCCCTTCAATTTATTACGTACAATATACCATAGTAATTCTGTGGTATTGTTTAAAGTATTTTTAAATGAATATTATAATAATTTGGCAGTCGCTAGCCGACTAAAACGACTTGATTTTGGTCTGGTTCCTCCTTCAAATTGAATGGGATTTTTTGCCACCAAGTTTATTAACCTGCTGGTGAAGTAGTGATGCTGTGTTCTCAGGTGATGAATTAAACCAGTTGTAGTAAATTTCTTTGGCAGCAAGCTGCCTCTTGATATTTCAGCTAAATAAATGTTACATATTGCTACTCTAGGATATTTTTGGTCAACATTTTTACCTGTTGTGTGTCCACATTGCTGACATTTTTATCTGTCGTTGTAGCCCATCCAAGTTGTCAAAATGCGTAATCGGAAAAGGGCTAATTAAACGTCACTGTTTTGGTCAATCCAAACTGAAAATTATTTTTTTGCTAAATATTTCTGTTGCCAATTTTTGCTTGAAAATTTTGGTCCCTAGCAAGTATCACTAATATTTATTAAAGTTGTCTTTATATTACTGTTGTAGGTTCTTCCACTGATCATAAGTGTTTTGGTAAAATCATACTACATGGCTTCATTCCATAAGGAATCTATTCTATTTAATATTTTTCTTACCTGTGAGAGCAACATAATGGACTGCCAATATTGGAATGATTTGATTTCCACTGCGGCGCGATGACTTGAAGTACCTTCTAGACTAATGGACTTGGGCTGTTTCATAAATGTTTCCTCCGTTGTATAATTGATTGGTTGCCTTTAGTCAAAATTTTCCTCCGTCTCTTGAATGCGGAGGGCAATAGTGTAAAGACATTAACTTCACACTGAAATGAGCTTCAGGGCTTTGAAATGGGCAGCCTGGTAAATGACAACAATATTGAGTGTGTCTGTCTTTTCTGTTCTAGTTTTATGTACTCTGTAGGAGGGGGCATTGGACCACCGCAAGGTAAGCAGCTGACATTTTGTCTATATTTTGCCTCGTTTTACATTAGATAATTTTGTTGGATACATTTCTCCAGTATAACATTTAAATGGAAAAAACTATATTTGTGTTCTTAAACTTGTCATCTTTTAATGGCAGGAATGATGCCCATGCAGCAGCAACAGCAGCAGGGCTTCCCCATGGTCCAGGTCATGCAGCCCAACATGCAAGGCATGATGGGAATGAATTTTGGAGCACAGATGCCTGGTGCCATGCCAATACAGGTTTGATTTATATATGTTAGCCATCAAAAATGTGGACACCGGAATCTCATGATTGGGATGTCCTCATTGTCTTGATCTCGTGCTTCTAGGGTGGGATGGCGATGGGCATGCAGACTCCCGGGATGCAGTTCATGGGTCAGCCTCAGTTCATGGGCATGAGGGGCCCGGGGCCACAGTTCCCTGCGGACTTACAGAAGCAGATGGCGGAGGAGCATCAGTAAGGCTTTACTTATTCACGCTGCCGGAAAGTTGTTTGTACACCGGAACTCGTCTCTGATCAGTGTGTGTCCACAGAAAACGTCTGGAGCAGCAGCAGCGGATGCTGGAGGAGGACCGGAAGAGAAGACAGTTTGAGGAGCAGAAACAGAAACTACGCCTACTGAGCAGCGTCAAACCCAAAGTGAGCAAGTCAATGTGATTATAAAAATGACTATACTTTCTAAATAATAGACCTGTTGTGATTATAAAATAATTGCTTGGTTAGTATTAACCATGATTATTGTCTATTTTCCAAGAATATATTGGCATCCAAATAAGGTGTTTGATAGGGAATATAAATGCAATAAAATGTTTGAGAGGTTTATTAAAGTAATATTGAGTTGTTATTGCTGCTATATCACTGTCTGCTTTACAAAGTGTTATTTTAGTATCACTGAGATACTATTATATTTTTTCCTAAATATTTGAAATTAGTTTTTATTTTTTCTGTTTTTGTTTTAATTTCGGTTATTTAATTTTAATTTATATTAATTTTATTGTTGGTCTTTTTGTCGTAGGATTAATTAACATTAAATATCCGTATAGTTTATTCATTTTAATTTATATTTATACACTATATTTTAGACTACTAAAACTATGTAAATAATATACAAATATATACTAAAATTAAAGCCAATAAAAAACTTCTGTTACTTAAAATATTTGAAGTAACAAAAGTTTTTTTTTTTTTGTAGTTTTAGTATTACTTAACTATAATAACTTTGCAATATATACTTTTTCTTGCATATCAGCTTCTCCAAACTCAAAACAAAATTGCTATTTTTGTACAGACTGGGGAGAAGAGTCGTGACGATGCCTTAGAGGCCATTAAAGGAAATCTAGATGGGTTCAGCAGAGATGCCAAGATGCATCCAACACCATCTTCACAATCTAAGAAACCAGGTACATCCAGTGACACGTTCCAGCTGCCTGACTGCCTTCAGGCCATGTGCTTTTCAAGTCCCTGCTCATGACGTCAAGGGTGGCATCAGTGGCCCAGACAGCTTTTGACAAGGTCACAGTGACTGGCGAGCGCTGAAGGACATTATCAGGGATGCACTCGCACACTGTTAAAGGGATAGTTCACCCAAAAATAAAAATCCTGTAATCATTTACTCACCCTCATCTCTGAATGTCCTTTCCCATGGAACACAGAAGGAGGATTTGAAGAACTGTACTGGATGCTGTTTTCTGTGCATTTTCATACAGGTTTGGGCTGACATGAGAGTGAGTGAATGATGACAGTTTTATTTCTTCAGTGAACTATCCCTTTATAGTGTTTCTTTTCTGTCTCGATGCAAACGCACTACATCTTTATCATTGAGTCAAATAGCTGTTTTATTCCCAGCAGCCACCAGGAGGCCCTCCAGATGTTTCCACTGAGTGTTTGCTGTTTTACTTATCCTCCATGTAACGCATTATCCTCCACCTTCTCACACTGGCTTTCACCCCTCACACCTGCAGAAGAGCTTCATATCACTCACTGTTTCTAGTCAGCTGCTGCAAATGTTTCTGCTCTAACTGTTTAGTTTGGAAAGAGTCCAAAATGTATTTGTTGCCACCTCTGCCAATTGCTGGTGGTGAATTGAGAAAAAAAATGAACTGGTCATAAATATTTATTACAGGCTATTTTTGTTTGGGGTCAGGAAGTTTTTGAAAGAAGTCTCTTATGCACATCATACTTCATTTATTTGATCAAAAGTGCAAAAAAGAGAGATTGTTAAATATTATTGCAGTTTTAAATATATTTTCTATTTTAATATATTTAAAAATATAATTTATTCCTCTGATGCAAACTGAATTTCACCATCATTACTCCAGTCTTCAGTGTCACCTGATCCTTCACAAATCATTCTAATATGCTTATTTGCCGCTTGAGAAACATTTCATATTATTATCAATGTTGAGAACAGTTGTGCTGCTTAATATTTAATTAGGCTTAAAAAAAAATTGATATTTTTTTTCAGAATGAATCAAAAGAACTTCATTTATTTGAAATATAAATATTTTGTAGCATTACAAGTGTCTTTACTGTCACTTTTGATATATTCACACTAGGGCTGGGTATCGAGTTCGAATTGCCTCGATACCATCGAGTATCGAAAAACGTCTCGTCGTTCGGTACCAAATTTCGATACCTAAGGGGTTAATCTCATCAGCGTCAGTGAGCCAATAAGCCTGCAGCACTTGCCGGTGTGTTCGACCAGAAGAGGTGCGGTGCAGATCGATCATCCGCGAGAGCGATTCGAAAGCGCACGGAGCAGTCTGTTCTATTTAGCTCTCGTGGTACTGTAATACCACCAGTATAGAGTAGCGCGGCTAACAGATGTGTAAACTGAAGACTATTTGAGCTTTATTAAAACTATTTTGCACTGATTTATTGTGTTGGTTACATTTTGTTCTTTTGTGCAGTGGCTCAGGAGATGAGTCTGTGAGTTTGTATAAACATCAACAAGCTGAAAAATAAAACCTAATTAAACCTACATTATCTAATAAAAAAGTTTTTTTTTTAGATAATGTAATCTTGTTAAAATTGATTTCATAAAATTGGTATCGAAAAAAGTATCGTTCAGGAACTGGTATCGAAGTCAAGGTATCGGTATCGATATCGAAAAATTTTGAACGATACCCAGCCCTAATTCACACAAAAAATATTACTGACCCCAAACTTCTTAATGGTAGTGTATATGGAAGAACGTTTTCTATATCTAATACAAACCTCTAATGGTATCTTTTGAAATGTACCATGTTAAAAAAAAAAGGTTTTGGATTTGAATCGCATGCGTCATCAGTCAGAGGTCAGATTGTCATTCTTAAAATTGGACTTAAACCATGTAATGTTGCAGTTGGTTGATACCAGCCAATTGGTAAGTAATTGTTTATTCACTAACCAAAGCCAATTTTAACTCCGATTTGGTTTGAACATTCACATCTTGTTCCCATCCATAATGTGACATTTTTGAGCAAAACAGGATTTAAAAAAAAAAAAATTGGGGCAGAAATTTATTGGATGGTAAGGTATGGATGTTCCATAGCTGACTGCAGTCAGATGAATGAGAATGAGACTTTGCTAAAATAATGCTTAAATAGTTAAGTGATGTTAGCAGAAAAGGAAAGACAAGCATTTTCTTAGTCAATCATTCATGGTAAGACCAGAAAAGAGTGTCAAGTAAATAAAAAAAGGTCAATTTTGTTTTCTTGTTGACTTGAATTTTGGACCCTGCTAGTAATTATAGTAAGAAATTGAAAAATGTATAAACAAGTACATTTCCATTGACATTTTCATTTAAAGGTTGCATTTGTTTTGTATATTAAAATAGCAGCACCACACCTAATGAAATTCAGTACCCTCCTGTTGTTCTTGTAAAACGGTTTCTCATTTTTTCAGTCTGTCTGTGAGGTCATAACTCATAATGTGTGTTTTGTCTGTCTCACTCTCTTGTTTGGTTTTTGCAGACTCATCGCCATCTCATTCCTCTGTCACCTCTCATACCCTTCCTCCTGCTTTCCCTGATGACGACGATGAGTTTAGTGACTTTGTGCAGGGCCCCGTCGATGCCTCCTCCTCATTCCCCTCTTCATCCCTCCCTCCATCTTCCCCTTCACTGAGAGCCGCTCACATTAGCCAGCCATTAGACATGGGGCCTGGCCAGCACCCCCCTTCCTCCTCTCTCCCTCACTCTGTCCCTTCATCTCTCCCTGTCTCACCTGCCATCCAACACTCTTCTGTCATCTCCAGCTCCCAATCTGCATTCCAAGGTAACGTCCCTCTCACGGTTTCTCACTTTGTCATGCCATCACTTGTTAGTACCCATAATCAAAGGTTAGATGCCATAACTACACTACTCAGTGTGCAAAAAGCATGTTATTCGTGTTTCAATAAACACGAAAAAGTAGATTTGGTTCACAAACTAGTTGTAATATTGAACAATGAGTTACATTTGCAGCTCATGTAAGAAAAAAAAAAGCTAGCACATTCCTGGGGTTGTATGTGCCAGCCAAGCAACTCCCATTGACTTGAATGTGAATGGTAACGGATACCTTTCTTCAGATCGTTTAAACCTTTTTGCCCATAACCGCTATCTTGCTGTGTTCTTGACGTAGAGTCAAAAGTCTGTCAAGGTTTCTGATTCAGATATGATGGTCACCATCTGTGAGATTTGCACAGTGATTCTGACTCAACCATCACCCTCCACCTCCCTTCGGTTTTGTCAGGTTGCAGATGGCATCCCATATGCTCTTATAATTTAAGCTGGAGTTCTATCAGCACAACAGCACATGCACACTATGCCGATTGTGACGGCGTACTGATAAGGAGCTCAGAGTGAAGCCTGCATAGATGCGTGTGATTGATAGTGTTACCGGTTTGGACAGAATTTATGCCATGGTGTCTATTACCACAGAAAAAAATGATTCGAACTAGAACTTAGAGATGACGTTCTCTGAGGGACATCTACCACTGACTGTGGCTCAGATTTCGTACTGTTAACATACTGTCACTGGAATAAAATTCAAGGCATTTAACTACTCGTACACAGAGAAAGTACAGCTACTGCTGGTCAAATATTACTCCAGTACAAGTTGTAAAGACAGGTTTTTACTTAAGTAAAAGTACAGAAGTACTTGCTTTTAAAAGTACTTAAGTACCAAAAGTAAATTTCCTTTTGTATGTCAATGCACTGTTTTATTGTTGTACGTAGTACTTGCAATACTTCTGAAGCAACTTGGAATACATTACACCTACTGAATACAGTACAGTGAAATTCTGTAAATACAGAGTGATAAGGAAGAAAAAAAATCAAACCTGCTTTAAAACCCAGCAACACAACTTTAGCTGTATAACTTTACAACAGCAGCACTGCTTTAACAAAAAAGCTAAACAGCAAAACTTATTTGACATCAAAACAAAAATTTTAAAAATGTTGTCTAATCGCTCTTGCGGTACTTTGATGTCACACACAGAACGGTCTGCGCAGTGCTGCTTCAAGTCCAACACTTACTGTGTTTTATTAGGAGATGCACAACAGTTCTTCTGTGGCCTTATAGGTAATATTTTCACGTACACAATTTAGCAAAATCAGACAATATTGTGTCTAATATATACCACAATATTAACTTCTTATTGAATTATTGTAAATAAATAACACATTTGCAACTGGTCAGTGTTCAAAAAATGCTGGGAAATCACTTCATGTAGCCCTACAAGAGTGATTACTGATAAACTGTCTGAAAAAAAGAAAGTCACATTTTAGAGATGAAAGAAATCACCCACTGACTTTCAAAGCTGCCACATAGTAATGACTTTCTACTTCGAGGACCTTGATAGAAATGCAGTGGAGTGAAAAGTACAATAATTGTCTTTCAAATGTAGTGAAGTTAAAGTCATAAGTTTCCAGAAAAAATAATACTCAAGTAAAGTACAGATACTCAAAAAGTGTACTTAAGTACAATACTCAAGTAAATGTACTTAGTTACTGTCCGCCTCTGCTCGTACATTATTTATCAGCCAATTATGTCATGCCTAAACAATTCCTGTTCCACCTCGGGTACTGTGAAGAGGTTACAATAGTCATTGTAATAGTTAATTTATTGTTATAATGAAGCGGTTACTTACCTGGCTCTTTTGGATATTTTATAATAAAAGAAACCGTAGGACTGTATATCTGCTCCAAAAGCTAGTGAGCTGCCTTGCTGTATGTTCCCTATATAGACAGTAGAACATATCTTGTTAACTGGAACACCCTACATAGTCAGCAACTTCATGGACAGCGAACGTGCCATAAAAGACTCAACTTATTATTTATTCCAGTAGAGCATCTTGTTAACCTAATACTCTAAAAAGTTAAATATATAATAAATGACTAATGAATATTTAAATGAGTTTTTATTTGAATTTAATATTTATACTTTATTTAATGGCATTTAAGTATTTATATATTCAGAATTTTCTTGACTTTGTCCTCCATCTTGTTTTAGTTTTTTTCGTTAATCTTGTCGCCCTGTATTCTGGGATTCTGTATTCTATTCTGTGCAAAGGAAACATGTAGTAATGTCTTATTTTAAAGGCTGAATAATGTTGCCTACCTCTTGGAAAAGCTTTTGCATCTGCATCGCAACATTGATGCGTTAAATGCAGTAGGTTTTGGTCTTGTACATTCACATAGTCATGTTTGGTGCTCAGTTAAAATATAAACTACTACAGTTCAATATGGCCTCTGTCCCTAACTGATTCAGGCCCATCTCTGGAGGAGAAGATGTTCACATCTTGCGATTTGACATCTGATAAGAAGGCCCAGGTTAGTTTTAAGCCACGCCAGGCTCTGTCTGAGCTGAGTCCCAGAGTTCAGGTCACAGCTCAGTTTCACAGCAGCACCAGAGCCCGAAACTGGGCCCAAACTCAAGATGACTTCAATTCAGCCTTCATTGAGCCTCTACCTGCAACTCAGGCGCCCCCTGCAGCAGACAACCCGACCGTCCAGCCCACTAGCACCAGCGGTGAGAAGAAAACATCTGTGATTTCAGTCCCGCCTCTTTTTCGAGCTTCTCAAAATTAACACAACTCGCAGCTCGAGACTTCCTGCCTTGCCTCTATTTGCTAATCATGAGATATGCTTGGTTTAGAAGGGCTGATTTCTTATCTTATTCTTGTTTGAAAAATCTTTAAATCTTGACCTGATTATTTCTAACACTTCTCAATGAACATCCAAGTAACCAAATCTGTCCTCTTACTTCAGCTGTCTTTGCTAAAGCAGATCCAAGGCATTATACGGAAGGAATTGCATGGGCCTAGAAGTTTTACCCTTGAAGACAATGTGCTCTTGAGCATGAAAAATGTTCAAAGTTGAATGGAAAAATAGACTAAGATGAAGATAACTTAATGAAAATCTCTACTTGATAAAGAAATGCCTAATTCAGATCTCCTGCCTACTGTCACAGAAACCCTTTTTTTCTGTCCTGAACATCTAACTGATTGTGCACGTGATCTAAAATATGTGCATGTTTGGGATTTAACATGTATTTACTGGGCTTGATTTCTTAACATGTGATGCTCTATAAATTCTTCCATTCTTGCACATTTTCCAATGTCTCTGAAATGATGGTTCTGGGTTTTTTAGGTCCAGGGGTGTCCAGTCCTTCTCATGGAGGGCCACCTTTCTTCAGGGTTTGGTTTCCAACACACTTGCCTAGACATTTCTGGTAATCCTGAAGACTTCGATTATCCTGTTCAAGTGTGTTCAATTAGGCTTGAGGCAAACTTGGTAAGAAGGTGGCCCTCCAGTGTCAAGATTGGACACCCCTGGTTTAGTCCGTCTACTGAGACCATTGGTGTTGTTAAAGGAGGGGATCAATTGCATGATTCACTGCTGTTGATGCTTACTTGGAGGTTTAATCACCATAGCCCCATTTTAATCATTTGCCTAATTTACTTCTCCACAGGACTCACAGTTTTAGCACAGATTTCAATGTACACATTGGCAATGCATGTAATGAGATGAGTGTCAATGCCAATACAAAGCAAAACTTTCTTCTCCGTATGTTGTCAATCTGTTTGTCCTACAAACCCACCAGCTCTCGGCTCAAGACAGCTGAGCTGATGGCAGAAGCAGTGGGAGTCTTTAGTGTGACTGTGCATGGTGTCAGTAGTACATCCGTGCTGGGCTTTGCTTGACAGCAGGTGTGGGGGACCTCTGACTGTGCAGTAGGCACATGGGATATATGCTTGATCAAGCACTCTTAGCATAAGAGTCCACAAATATCTCACTGTTTCCATGTCCATCACCACCAGGTGTAGGTGTCTACCCCCAACAAGACATGCAACCCATGGTGCCAGCCTGGTTATACAATGACTCGCTCATCCCAGGTATATGCTCTTGACGTCATTAGATTTGCATCATTTCATAGTTCTGCATTTCACGGTATCTAATGCCTAATGGTTGCTCTTCACAGAGTTGTTCAAGAAGGTCCTTGAGTTCACCATGACACCAACAGGTATTGACACAGCCAAACTCTACCCAATTCTGATATCATCGGGTCTGCCACGGGAAGCTCTCGGACAGATCTGGGCCTTGGCCAACCGCACCACACCTGGCAAGCTGACCAAGGAAGAGCTGTACACCGTCCTGGCTTTGATTGGAGTCGCCCAGGTAGATTTCACAATTTCAAAGGAGTATGTAGGTTTGCAGTCATAGGAAGTTAAGTGCATCTTTAGGCCAGAGGTGTGGGGATCTTATCATCTTCCCTTGCTGCTCTTGGCAGTTACAGTCCTGTGAGTAGAAACTGTATAGCTCTTCCAGCAACTCATGGGACCCTTTCAGTAATAGCACATTTGTTATGCAAATTGAAAAGCTCAATGAGGAGCCACTCTTCCAGTGCTTCAGTTTTGTAGAGCAATCAAGAAAGGAAAAGCTCCGGAGAATGCCAGAAATGGCATTGAAAATGGAAGTTGACTTTAATGAATATTTTAGGCAAACAGATCAGACAGCCTCTTGGTGGAGGGGGAAATAGACATCTGGGTGGAGAAGAAGGTCTATTGTTTGACAGGCCTGCTTTTTTATTTCGTTTCCCTGATGAAAGACGTGCCGTAAATTCAATGTTCCTGCACGAGGCGTTGAAGTGGTTTTGTCTTAATAGCTCACTAAATCATTGTTATGTGTAGGGAGAATATCAGTTTTAATTGAGTGTCTTATGTTTATAGCAGTGCCTCATCTTAATGACTGTCAGTAATCAGCATTTATCAGTCGGCTTTCAAAGATATGTGCTACTTGTTATCGTCGACGTTATCATTCTGCTTTAACGCTTCGCTTTTATAGCTTCTCTTTAAAGATAAGATTTGGTTAACAGGGGATGGTATGGTGTACAACTCCAGTCCTGGAGGGCTAGTATCCTGCAGAGTTATGTATCAATCCCAATTTAACCTGGCCACTGGCCATCCAGGACTTGAGGTGAAGAGTCCTGGTGTACTGGTTAAAGATCTGGGTTGGTATCTAATTTTATATACATGGTAATAGTCTAGCACAAGTTGCAAATGAACTCATGATTTCTATGGTTAATGTGTCAGCATGGCTAAAAGAGAATTGCTTAATTCAGCCTTCATTGAGCCTCTACCTGCAACTCAGGCGCCCCCTGCAGCAGACAACCCGACCGTCCAGCCCACTAGCACCAGCGGTGAGAAGAAAACATCTGTGATTTCAGTCCCGCCTCTTTTTCGAGCTTCTCAAAATTAACACAACTCGCAGCTCGAGACTTCCTGCCTTGCCTCTATTTGCTAATCATGAGATATGCTTGGTTTAGAAGGGCTGATTTCTTATCTTATTCTTGTTTGAAAAATCTTTAAATCTTGACCTGATTATTTCTAACACTTCTCAATGAACATCCAAGTAACCAAATCTGTCCTCTTACTTCAGCTGTCTTTGCTAAAGCAGATCCAAGGCATTATACGGAAGGAATTGCATGGGCCTAGAAGTTTTACCCTTGAAGACAATGTGCTCTTGAGCATGAAAAATGTTCAAAGTTGAATGGAAAAATAGACTAAGATGAAGATAACTTAATGAAAATCTCTACTTGATAAAGAAATGCCTAATTCAGATCTCCTGCCTACTGTCACAGAAACCCTTATTTTCTGTCCTGAACATCTAACTGATTGTGCACGTGATCTAAAATATGTGCATGTTTGGGATTTAACATGTATTTACTGGGCTTGATTTCTTAACATGTGATGCTCTATAAATTCTTCCATTCTTGCACATTTTCCAATGTCTCTGAAATGATGGTTCTGGGTTTTTTAGGTCCAGGGGTGTCCAGTCCTTCTCATGGAGGGCCACCTTTCTTCAGGGTTTGGTTTCCAACACACTTGCCTAGACATTTCTGGTAATCCTGAAGACTTCGATTATCCTGTTCAAGTGTGTTCAATTAGGCTTGAGGCAAACTTGGTAAGAAGGTGGCCCTCCAGTGTCAAGATTGGACACCCCTGGTTTAGTCCGTCTACTGAGACCATTGGTGTTGTTAAAGGAGGGGATCAATTGCATGATTCACTGCTGTTGATGCTTACTTGGAGGTTTAATCACCATAGCCCCATTTTAATCATTTGCCTAATTTACTTCTCCACAGGACTCACAGTTTTAGCACAGATTTCAATGTACACATTGGCAATGCATGTAATGAGATGAGTGTCAATGCCAATACAAAGCAAAACTTTCTTCTCCGTATGTTGTCAATCTGTTTGTCCTACAAACCCACCAGCTCTCGGCTCAAGACAGCTGAGCTGATGGCAGAAGCAGTGGGAGTCTTTAGTGTGACTGTGCATGGTGTCAGTAGTACATCCGTGCTGGGCTTTGCTTGACAGCAGGTGTGGGGGACCTCTGACTGTGCAGTAGGCACATGGGATATATGCTTGATCAAGCACTCTTAGCATAAGAGTCCACAAATATCTCACTGTTTCCATGTCCATCACCACCAGGTGTAGGTGTCTACCCCCAACAAGACATGCAACCCATGGTGCCAGCCTGGTTATACAATGACTCGCTCATCCCAGGTATATGCTCTTGACGTCATTAGATTTGCATCATTTCATAGTTCTGCATTTCACGGTATCTAATGCCTAATGGTTGCTCTTCACAGAGTTGTTCAAGAAGGTCCTTGAGTTCACCATGACACCAACAGGTATTGACACAGCCAAACTCTACCCAATTCTGATATCATCGGGTCTGCCACGGGAAGCTCTCGGACAGATCTGGGCCTTGGCCAACCGCACCACACCTGGCAAGCTGACCAAGGAAGAGCTGTACACCGTCCTGGCTTTGATTGGAGTCGCCCAGGTAGATTTCACAATTTCAAAGGAGTATGTAGGTTTGCAGTCATAGGAAGTTAAGTGCATCTTTAGGCCAGAGGTGTGGGGATCTTATCATCTTCCCTTGCTGCTCTTGGCAGTTACAGTCCTGTGAGTAGAAACTGTATAGCTCTTCCAGCAACTCATGGGACCCTTTCAGTAATAGCACATTTGTTATGCAAATTGAAAAGCTCAATGAGGAGCCACTCTTCCAGTGCTTCAGTTTTGTAGAGCAATCAAGAAAGGAAAAGCTCCGGAGAATGCCAGAAATGGCATTGAAAATGGAAGTTGACTTTAATGAATATTTTAGGCAAACAGATCAGACAGCCTCTTGGTGGAGGGGGAAATAGACATCTGGGTGGAGAAGAAGGTCTATTGTTTGACAGGCCTGCTTTTTTATTTCGTTTCCCTGATGAAAGACGTGCCGTAAATTCAATGTTCCTGCACGAGGCGTTGAAGTGGTTTTGTCTTAATAGCTCACTAAATCATTGTTATGTGTAGGGAGAATATCAGTTTTAATTGAGTGTCTTATGTTTATAGCAGTGCCTCATCTTAATGACTGTCAGTAATCAGCATTTATCAGTCGGCTTTCAAAGATATGTGCTACTTGTTATCGTCGACGTTATCATTCTGCTTTAACGCTTCGCTTTTATAGCTTCTCTTTAAAGATAAGATTTGGTTAACAGGGGATGGTATGGTGTACAACTCCAGTCCTGGAGGGCTAGTATCCTGCAGAGTTATGTATCAATCCCAATTTAACCTGGCCACTGGCCATCCAGGACTTGAGGTGAAGAGTCCTGGTGTACTGGTTAAAGATCTGGGTTGGTATCTAATTTTATATACATGGTAATAGTCTAGCACAAGTTGCAAATGAACTCATGATTTCTATGGTTAATGTGTCAGCATGGCTAAAAGAGAATTGCTTACAACTAAATGTGTCCGAGACAGTATGTATGTTTTTCTCTAAGTCTAACAGTATTATTAAAGAGCCAGATGTTTACGTGTCAGGGGTGAGGCTGCAGGTAGTGCCTCAATATAAATATCTGGGAATACTGATTGATTCTAAACTTACATTTAAAGCTCAAGTTAAAAAGGTTTGTAAGCAGGTTAAGTTTAATCTCTATAATTTTAAGTTTATTAGAGATTATATGTAATTTGAGGCAGCTAAGATGTATATGTATTCTATGGTTAACTTATTTCTCACATGACTTACTGTTTAACCACCTGGTCTCAGGCGAGTTCAGTGACTCTAAAACCATTAGAGTCCTTATACAAACGTACACTTAAAGTCTTCGATAAGAAATCGGTACATTATCATTATTGTCTAATACTGAAAAAATATAATTTGTTAAGTTGGGAAAACATGATTAAGTATGCAAATGTCTGCTTGATGTATAAAATTATTTATGGTTTATCTTCTCCCTCTCTTAGTCAGTTAGTTAGTATTAGAACAACTGATTATCGTTCTACAAGAGGTTCATTAAGAGGAGACTATCATACCGCTTAGACAAAGTAATTTTAGTCAGTCTGCTTTTTCTGTCAAAGCTGCACGAGAATGGAATACTATTGACAACTATACGAGATCTAGGCACATATGCTTTATTTAGGGTTCAGTTGAAGAATTGGTTAATTCGTACTCAGATTTGTCAACACTAGAATTTTATATTTGCTAGCTATCCTATTATTGATTGTATCTTGTTTGCATTGTCTTTATTTGATCCCATTGTTTTTAATAGAATACTGTATGATTTGAACTATGTAATTATAAAAAATTTTAGTATGTATTTTTAATTACATTTTATTTTAGGGTGACTTGTAACATCTTGTCCAGGGACTACGGATGTAAAATAGCCTTTGGCTAATTCTGGTACATTTACAGGAATGTTTTATTAATGTACAATGTCCCTGTCAACTAAATAAAGTAATAGCTTTTAGTTCAAATTTCTTTTAGATCCATCTACTTAAACGAATAGTTCACCCAAAAATGAAAATTTGTCATCATTTACCCCTCCCTTATGTCTTTCCAATCCCACGAGACTTTGGTTAATCTTCAAAACACAAATTAAGATATTTTAAATTAAACCTGAGTGGTTTCCGTCGCTCCATTGAAAGTCCAAGTAACCAAAATGTAAAAGATTCAAAAAGGTTAAAACTCTGATTTCATCAAAAATATCTTAATTTGTGTTCTGAAGATGAACAAAGGGCCTACGGGTTTGGAACGACATGAGGGTGAGTAATCCATGACAGAATTTTCAATTTTTGGGTGAACTAATCCTTCAAATGACTTACCCTTAGTAAACCACTCTGTCTAAGATTGCATATTGTGGTTGTATTCTCTAGAGTGGTCTTACAGTCATGAGTTTGGACATCCTGAGTCAGTTCCCCTCTCTGCCTGTGCCCAATCTACCCACCATGGCTATGGCTATTCCTGCTGTCCTGCCTCAGCACCAGCAGCCCATCATGACCCAGCCACCCGTGTCCATGGCCATGCCGGTCGCTGCGCCTGTCATGAGCATGACCCCAAACCCGCCCGCACAACCACCGGCCAGCTTTGTCACCAACTTCCCTCCTGTTCAGGTAAACATCAGACACTTTATTATGGATAATAACTGCACTGTTATCGCTCAACTGATTTATTGTTTTGTTGGCTTACGTTAGGCTACCAAGGCTGATGATGACGATTTCCAGGACTTCCAGGAAGCCCCTAAAGCCGGCACTGGAGATGACTCATTCACAGATTTCCAAGGAGAAACAGGAGGAGTGTTTCCCAGCATGACATCATCATCCCAAAGCGGGTACGAGTACAGCTTTTCGTCTATGTGTCATGGCATATTGCACGCCTGCAAAAGCATATTTTTTATGTAATGCAAACTGCTTGGAGAAATGCATCGTAAAGCAGCATCCTGTCATCTCTCATTAGTAGTTTCTGATATTGTTTTTATGCTTCGTTAATTCCTCTAGACTCGGTTTGCTCATCTGGAGCATGGAATCGCTCTCCGCTTTATAATGGCTTGTAATAACCTGCCCAGCGCAACAATTAAACCCCCGCCATCTTTTCTAATGAGCCCATTTCAATGGACAGCTGATAAGCTCATTCCATTTTATTTCTATTCACATCTGCATGATTTTATGCTCCCACGGAAAAACGGCGAAAGGCAATTATGGAAAGCAGGGAGTGAGAGGTTGGAAAGTATATTCGCTAAGTGCCACGGCCTTTACCGGTCGATCAGCTTCACTGAGCACAAAGGATCCTTTGTTTTAGAAGAATATTTTGGTGCTTGAATGTGTCAGATTGCTCGCTAATTAAATCAGTGAAAATGAGAAGTGTTGAGAATAATACAGGAAGTGAGGGTGAGGTTTTCTCCTGTGCTGGGAATATCGCTGTTATGAGGGAAGTGATCCAAGACGGCGAGAAGGGGAAGAAAGAAACTTTTGTTTAGAAAAAAACTTTCAAATTCTGAATTTCAAGTTGCATATTTGAACCACACACTGAAAGTATGTATTTTGCCAATGTGGCCAGTAAGATTGTTTTCTTTGAAAGAAACTGATGCTTTTATTCAGCATAGATGCAATAAATTGATCCAAAGTGACAGTGAGAACATTTCTAACATTACAAAAGATTTCTATTTAGAGCAGCACACATAAGAAATGCTTCTTGAGCAGCAAATCAGCATATTAGAATTATTTCTAAAGGATCATGTGACACTGAAAACAGGAGTAATGATGCTAAAAATTCAACTTTGATCACAGGAATGAATAACCTTTTAAAATATATTCAAATAGAAAATAGTTATTGATATTACAGACACTGTTTCTCACAAACTGTTTGTATTCATGTGTAAACATGAGCAATTTTTTACTTTAAAAATCACTTTACTCATTTCCCATTTCTTACCAACCTTATACAACTGAATTCTGAAAATCAATGGGATGCAATATATTTGTCCAACTTTGGATTTCTATTTTCATTTTGTTTTAAAATGGGACGCACTAAATACTAATCTTGCAAACTTTATAGCAGGGATGGTATGCAAATTAGTATTGTGCCTCAGGCTTTGTGTGTTTAGTCTACTTTTAGAAGCATCAAAGAACAAAAATAAGTATCTCAAAACTAAATATAACGTTTCGGCTTGTAAACTCTCTTTGTAAACTCTTCGTAGCTTGTAAAGCACTTTGATCTGTTTGGGCTGACTGCTGTATGTTTTGTCTGCTTCATGCAGTGTTCCTGCCATGCTAACTCCAGTGTCAGGGTCTTCATCCTCCTCCTCTGATAAATACGCAGTGTTTAAACAGTTGTCAGTGGAGCAGCCTGCAGAGCCCACACCTCCTGTCTCAGGTAAAACACACACACATACCCATTTGGCTCCATGCACCTCATTAGCCCGTTGAGGAAGACAGATCTCTCAGAAGACTGCTGTCATATCGGGTTAACTTTTAAGACTGATTCTCTTGTCTAAATGCATTTGCGATAAGACTGTGTGGCCCGCAGATGTGTTTTGCATAAATTTATCCTGCTATTTATCACATTCCTGCAGCTCCTTCTATCATTATTATGGTCTAGTTAAAAAGCACTACTGCTTCTACACACAGGCATTGTTTACTGTTTTGTTCCAGATTCAGGGGACAAATACAGTGTTTTCCGAGAGCTTGAGCAGCCTTCAGACAGAAAACCAGTTGGTAAGCAGATGCATGTCTGACACCGCATGAACAAATCAAGTATACAACCTAGATCTGCTTTTTACAAGATTAAATTTAATACAATTGCACCAGGCTATAGTGTGTTAAGTTTATTGTAGGGCTTCATACACTGATGTAGGCATGTGTGCGTGTCCCTGTCTCACTAGAGCAGAATCCAGTGGGGACAGCTCTGAGAGAGCCAGTAAGTCAATGGTTGCAGTGATCTATTCTCCAGAACTCCTGTAGTTCTGTTCTCTCTACTTTTGATTCCTTATATAGGCTGCTGCTGAAATAGAAAAAAGTTTGTCATCTGCGTGTCATTCACTTCTAGTGGTCGATCAAAATGGGTTTTTTATTGGCCTATATTGAGAGGGCACAGTGGTTAATGGTTGATATATTGCTGGTATTTGATACAATACAATTTAGTCAATGCAAAATGGAATTGGAAATGTACAATTACATTTACATTTGTCATGCTATGTTTAATAATCAATTGAATATTTATTTCATAGTGTATTGTATTTGATTTATAATTAAGTCAAAAAGGTTGGCCATGTGACCAAAAAAAACCCTGTTTAGTTTACTTAAGACTTGATTATAACTGACTGTGTTTACGTGAACACTTTCCAAGATGGATGGATTTGTGTGTATTTCATGGCTCATTGCACTTAGTTTTTTAACATCAAGCACATCCCTCATTTTATTTTTTCAATCATGCATTTTTCATGCATCAGTCAAATATGTCAGTGATTTTAAGCAGTCCTACACTGCACTGATAAATTTACATACATGATAAAGGAAAATCATATCAACAATTTTGTCCGATTAATTGGTCTACCACTGGTCACTTCACTACAAGTGAAATTAATATGTACTGATTGTGGCTAAACCAGAGTGTGTGATTGTGTGCTGAGACTGAAATATGCTGGTTAAATTTGCTATATTCTGTGATTTATATCTTCACACTAAAAGTCTTCAGTTCCATTGTACCACCTTTTTATTTCAATTCAGCAGTCAAACGCAGCTTGCGTTAAGCATTGCTAATCCGTTTTTCTCTTTTTAGGCCCATGAAATGGAGCTCTGGGCAACTTGTAGGCAAACTGCATTGTGCCGTGCCAGCTCTCTGTCCTTTGTTGTTTTGGTGTGAAATGCAGTTCGCCATGCCCTTCAATTGTTTTCTTTTCCTTTTTCCGCAGGGGAGGGATTTGCTGATTTCAAGTCTGTCACTGCCGACGATGGCTTCACAGACTTTAAAACAGCCGACACAGTCTCTCCACTAGACCCACCAGACCAGGACAAGTTCCAGCCAACTTTTCCTCCTCCTTTCTCTTCTTCTCAATCTCTGTCCCATTCACAACCAGCCTCTCTGGCTCAACCTAGAAATCCTCTCAACATGGCAGACCTGGACCTCTTCACAACAATGGCTCCTCCTGCTCCCACAACCACTGTTGACTCCAAACTCAACCTGTTCCCTTCAGCGCCCCCATCCCTGGTATTGCCCTCAGTTGCAAAACCTCCCAGCGTAGGGGGTGATGACTTTGGCGATTTTGCTCTTTTTGGCTCCTCAGCGTCCTCCGAAGTAGCTCCCACCACCGCTACAGTAGGGAGAGGAACTGGGACGGCAGTTCAGGACGACTTTGCTGACTTCATGGCGTTCGGGTGCTCGAGAGATCAGAGAAACGAGACCAGCTCTGGAGACGGTGGTGGAGAGGCCCAGGTGGAGACGTCCCAGCAGAGGCAGCAAATCAGCACTGATAAGTATGACGTCTTCAAGCAGCTGTCCCTAGAACGTGGCCTGGCCTACGACGATAACAAAGAAAGCGGCGGGGGCTCCTTCTCGTCGCTCAAGAGCGACAATGACGACTTTGCAGATTTCCAGTCCTCCAAATTCTGTACGGCACTGGGTGCGTCCCGCATGACAATTGCAGCTTCTGTCGAATCGCGATCTCGATTCCATTTCGATTTATCGTGCAGCCCTATACGGGAATACTTTGTGTGCAAAGAAAACAAAAATAATGACTTCAACAATTTCTTCTCTTCTGTGTCAATCATTTAACACGCGTTCACGAGAGTACCACAACACATAGTCGAATAAAGTTGAATAGTCGTTATTTTTGTTTTCTTTGCACACAAAAAGTATTCTCGTAGCTTCATAAAATTAAGGTTGAACCACTGATGTCACATGAACGATTTTAACAATGTCCTTATTACCTTTTTGGGCCTTGAACGTGTGAGTTGTGTTGCTGTCTATGCAGGTTCAGAAAGCTCTCGGATTTCATCAAAAATATCTTAAAGGGGTCATATGATGCTATTTTAAAGATCATTATTTGGTGTATTTGGTGTAACGGAATATGTTGACATGCTTTAATGTTCAAAAAACACATTATTTTTCACTGTACATTATTATAGGTCCTCTATGCCCCGCCTCTCTTAAACACGTCGTTTTCAACAAAGCCCCCTCCTTTGACAAGCGCAGTCTGCTCTGATTGGCCAGCTGACCCAGTGCATTGTGATTGGCCAAACACCACAAGCACGCGTCGAAAATGTAACACCCCTTACCATAATCGCGAGTTTCAGCTTTCAAAGTAAATATCAAGACCGTTAATAATGTCGTTAGTTTTACCATCAGTTCAAGCCCAAAAGGGCAACAGAGTCGCGTGACAGACACAGTGATGACGCAGTACACAAGCCGCGGTTAAGACAGCTGACGTGCTATGATTTCTGACAGGCTGTTCACTCTCCTGTGATGTGACCCTGTTCCCCACACACACACACACACACACGACACGTTACTCTGCGCTGCCCAAAATTCCGTATTTGAACAATCAATAGCAAATACTTAAACTAATAACAAAACATACTTGCAGTCGCTGATTCAGAAGCGCCAGATTGTCAAAGCAAAGTCGGAATTGACCCTTTTTTTTTTTTTTTTTAGAAATAGCCTTTGTGCACAGCCAGTCTTGTACTCTTTCTAGGTTAAAAAAACTGTCGTCCATAAAATGCGTTGCACAAATTCGAACATCTGGGTTGTGCTGTTCTGTTGTAAATAAATCTTAATCAATGATTCCTAATTGCATCTACTTCCGGAAGGCCAAATAAAGTGCTTTTGCTTTCGCACTGAAACACACAACGTCTCCCTGACATGGCTGCATCAACACTACTGCTGTTCCTGAAACCACGCCTTCTTTCTTTGCGTGCACATTTGGGTGGCATTATGCTAATATTTCCACATAGTGACGTAGACATGTGGGGGCGTGTTAGAACGAGCCGTTTTAGGTAGGCATGGTTGACTCTTAACTTTTATAAAGAATATCTCTTTGGATTTGAGACTTTAGTCTTTGCAACTTTACAGATCTTTATGCACCAAGAGCTTGTAACACTCCAAAGAGAAAGGAAAACTTGAAATCGCATCATATGACCCCTTTAATTTGTGTTCTGAAGATGAACGACATGAGGGTGAGTAATCAATGACAGAAAATTCATTTTTAGATGAACTATCCATTTTAAATCCCATCCAACCATTTAGACTGAATTTAATTTCTGAAAATGTGATTTTAATGAGATTTCATGTTTTTTTTTAATCAGTTTTGTAAAAAAATCTGAATTAATTATTTCAGACAACAGACAAACTGATTTGACTCCGATGTACCAAAAATGCTTTTTTGGTGCAAAGCCAAACTTTATAATGATCACATTTGGATGTGTGATTAGATGATTATGAGAAAGCTAAAATGTTTTTGCTCAAGATGGCATTGTTCATTTAAATTCTGCCAACACGACACATCTGACTTTACATTCGTTCAGTTTTTTTACTCTGAGCCATTTTGCGCTTATCAGAATTACAGATGGGATATATAAACAGCCAGATTAATATGCTAATGACGCTGAAGTCTTGGCTGTTTTTCCAGTGCAGGCGACTAGTTTTGTCTAAGCATGATAAATGATCTTGACATTTCTGTCCTTTATTTGATCTACAATTCCACCTTCATATCAAGTCATAAAACGGCCTCTCTTGATATAGCCAACAGGTGTTGTAGTTAATATCGTTCTGGTCACACTTGTTTTGCATGTAACCGTTCATCCGTTCATGTGATGGTTATCCGTGTTGCATGTGCATGGGGAATCCTCAATGCCGTGCCTCAGTGCATACATGAGCAAAAAATACAAAGCACTACCTAATTTAACCCAAGTCATATCACACACGCATGAACCGGCTGCCCTGTGCTTGAGCTGCATACTACAAGCATCAGATACCAGTCCACGCCAAGAAATCTGAGAGCACATTGGGGCGCCAAGTTAGTGAAATCTCCTTAGAGGACTCTGTGACCCCCAGGAGCTCTTGATGGGCTTGTTTGTAATGTCAGTCACCCTTAATTTACACTCATTCTCTGCTTCTCATGTTATCTGTTCTGCATGAAAAGCATCCCGCAAGTGTGTGTGTGCTTGTTCACTTTATCATTCATCTTCATCATGTATCAGGGTGAGAACACAGTCACAGTATTTCATCCAGTCAGCGTCAGCCATCGTATCAGCCCTCGTGTGCGTAGACTGGTTGGCATTGAGGAAGCACAGTAGGAAGAGTTCCTATAGACTTGTGTGGTCTTACCAGAGCCAACAACCAGACCTGTTGCTACCATCACGTATTGCCACAAGTTTCCCACTAGTAATTACACATTTTGACTAGTAAAAACCATTTGATTAAATTTCCAACTTAATGCATTTGTCAAACTTATCTTAAGTTGGAAATTTAATGAAATTGTTCTTACTAGCGAAAAATGTGTAAAGCATTGACTTTTCAATCTAGGCTGTTGTACCATCATGTGAAAACCACTGAAATGGCTGCAGATTTAATAGTTAAAGATGGTAATATAGATGCTAATTCTAACATGACGTGAATGCAGCAAGAGTAGATGCCATATTTAGTTGTGATGTGAATGAAACAAGGTTGTGAGGGATGGAAGTAGTTTGATCAATATGTTGTGTTCTCTAATAGAGATGACGGTATGTCAGTTATCGTATTATCATTTTTATTTATTTTTTAAATATTTTTGTTTACTTAGAGTCAGGAATCATTGGATATTTAATTGTCTAATTTAAATTACATTTGTTGTTATATACTGTTCACTTAAAGGAACAGTTCACCCAAAAATGAAAACTTTAAACATTTGTAACCAAATATTTGACGGTCAACTGTTTGGTTACCAACATTCTTCAAAATATCTTCTTTCGTGCTTAACAGAAGAACGAAACTCATTTAGGTTTGGAACAACTTGAGCGTGAGTAAATGACAGATTTGTAATTTTTGGAGGAATTATACCTTTTAATGTCAGTTTTGAAAAATACTAATTTAGTAACACTGTATAATCTTAGAAATAGAAATGAATTATGATTCTGTACCTTTTGTCATTTTGCCATGCATAAATTAACTTATGGAATATAAAACAACTGATTCTATTATTTTATTTTCAATTTATTTATAAAAAATATAAAATTTTAGTATTGACTATTTATCATTTTTGACACTTTTGTGTCAGCACGTCAATCATCATATCAACCAGAATTGTAATATTGGTGCATCCCTTCAAAATTTTACAACCCATGTTTTAAGACACATTAGTCCTCTCCAGTTTTCACTCTCATTCTCTGAAAGTTCAGCAACCAGATATAAGAATACAACATGAATGAACTGTAATTCCGTCCCTCACGGTCTCATTTTCATTTACGTCATGCTAAACATGGTATCCGCTCCGATTGAGGTTTTGTCTTCTTTCCATAGTAGCTTCAGTGAATACTAACATTACCTAAACCTTGTCAAACACTGTTCTAGTTACATCTTATACAAATCCCTCTAGTTCAGTTACTGGACACCTCTAGAGCCTAAGCATAAATATTGTAGCAGGTTGAGAGTGTTGGGTTTCCTAACACTTGCACTACGCCCCTGGATGTGTAGCTAACCACCCTAGAGTATCTTTTTTCCAGGCCAGAGCCGCTTCTTGTGGTCCTTACACGAGAAGGTGACTTTGTTTCAGGTTTGTCGTGGTTCATCTTCTCTTGTAGACCACACTGACGGTGGAACTCTTTCTAACTTTGCTTTTCTGTGCTCCAGTATGTGCCAGCCTTCAATTTGTGAAATTGACAAGTATTTACATGCAGTAAACAATTAGTAGGATTAGTCCATGTTTCTGGCATATTTACAAAATAGGTTGTTTTTATCAAGAATGGAAATGTATACATGCAAATTTAATAGTGTATTTTTATTACAGGAAAATAAACTCTTATTTATTTTGAATATAGATAGACTTGATTAGTACTGTTGATTGTGTTGAAGCATTTATGCCAGAAAGCGTATTATTTGTATTTATGAAGAGCATACTGCTTGCCATGATATGAAATTGTTACCTTTTTGACTTGTGGGTCAAAAATAGCTCCAACCAAGATGTACAGGATGGCGAGAGAAAAAGGGTACGATCTCTTTTTGTCATTCTTTACCCGTCACTCAAGCCAATAAATGCTCTAGGATAGATTTCTCTGTTTTCTTTTAACCCTTTGAGCACCTAATAGAATAATGCAAACCCTGGTTGATTTAGCAGAATTGGATTGAACTAGGCTGCACTATTATAACAAAAATAACTGTCGATCATTTTCCTTAATGTTGAGATTGCGGTTATCAATTTTGATTGATAGAATTTAATAAGAATAATTTTGTGTGGGGAAACTGCATGTCATATAAGAACTGTTTACTTCAATTTATTTTAAATTAATAAAATTAAAATTATTCCATTTTTAAAATTGATTTAATAAATGTAATACTTGATTGATTAACTGCGATTTAACTTTGTTGCAGCATTTGTTTGCGGTGTATATTGTGACTAATTTAATGCCGTCTGTGATTGGTCACAATGTTCAGTGATAGTAGACCCAAATTAACACTTTAATTGATGTTGATTCATAATAATTTTTTGGATTAATTGTGCAGCCCTAGTTTGAAGTTTTGATGAGCTGTTGGTCGGCTGGCAAATGTATTATACAAAATCTCAGAACAAGTCTCTCCAGGTTCTCAAAGGGTTTTAATAAGCTGCATAAAACCAATATTAGCATCACCTTGATCTTTGCTTAAATGTTCTGTATCACTTTTCCTTATTTCTGGTTGCTTTTTCCTTTTATAGTCCGACTACAGTGTGTCTTTGACCAATGAGAACTAATCTAATCTTAATCTGTGAATGTGCCTTCTCAATGCTGGGTTCTGCGTCTGGATTTGGGATTTTCTGTCCTGTTTTTGTTTTCTTCTCACTTCTGCTTTTTCTGACTTTGCATGCCCTTGTATTCTTAAAATGCAAAAAAAAAAAAAAAACACTTTTTAATTGTTCATTTGGCAAGACTATTGTAACGATCTTTCATGGAATTTTGTGACCTCTCTCTCTCTTTCTTTCTCTGCCAATGTTGTCGTAATAAATATGAAAAATGGTACAGCAGACATGCGTGCCGTCTTGATTTCTCTCTCCATCCTTCAATCTTGCCACCCAAAGCAGATTTAGTCATCAGAATTATCACACTGCACTGGTTCCTTGTCAATTTCACAAGTTGATAGATTGTGTGAACAGTCGTGCCCCGCTTAACTGTGAGGGAAGTAAGGTGTTTCAATGCATATGTGAATTAATCATACTTATTTTTAATTATAAACATTATGGCCTCTAAATGAGGCCAGTTCCTCATTTATAAATAATATCTGTATCTGTATTTGAAGTAAGTTCATGCAGTAGCTTCAAAGAGCACAGCACAATGCACCGTTGCAGTTCTTTTATCAGTCTGTCGATGTGGTTGATTGTATGAGAGTGTGAATGATTACACGTCAACACTCTACTACACTGAAAGGCAGAAAATTGTATCTCTTGGTGAGTCACAGCCCAGTTGTGATTTTCAGTCAAGCAGTGATTCATTTTAGAGAAATGAAAGCTGCAGAATGACATAGTCAATTTGACCTTCAAAACGAGGTTCTACTTCTAGTAACAAATCTGAAAAGCATTCATCAGTCCACACACACGCAGATGTCACTCATCCAGTCTAGTCAATAAGACACTGAGTGTTTTCGCCCAGACTCCGAATGACTTCCGCTCGAAGATAAGGACTCGGGGATCATTAGAGTGGCTTTGTGCCAGAAGTGTCTAGTTAATGAACCAGGGCTTCATCGTATGAAGATATCAGGAATAATTCATCATGAACAAGGAGCACTTTAGACGCATAGTGACATTGAGTCCTCCTGATCTGTACCATCAGTAATAGACTAATAGAAAAAATGACCTCGGTCATGTTTATGGGTTTTAACCCATTTGTAAATGTACACAAACATGTATTTGCTGATTAGTGTATTGATTTTTTTAACCTAATGCATAAGTGAGTAAACCAATAAGGCTAAACGGTAACAAACTAAAAGTATAATCGATCGATCTATCTATCTATCTATCTATCTATCTATCTATCTATCGCGCTTACAATTGAAGTATATGGGCAAAACTTTGTGCTAGCATAAATGTTAAATTGTTAAAAGTCATTTCAGAAATATAGCCACAAAAACTTTAGCATGAAACTAGTTATACAAAGTCAGTAATTCTCAATGCGGTTTTAATCCAGTTTTCCGGCTGCTGACCATGTAAAGCTTGTAAACATGGTAAGTTTCACATGATACGTGCAAGGATACCAAAAAGGGGTTTTAGATCAGCGGTTCTCAACCTTTTAGACTCAAATGCCTGTTGTTCAACACAATATTCAAAGGCTCGCACTATAGCCTATTTCCATTGTAATTATGTCAGAGCTGTTTTTTTTTTTTGTTAAATATTTATTATATATATAATATAATAAATATATTATATTATACAATATATATATTATTGTTATTAACAGAAACTGGGATATATAATTAACCATGATTTATTTTGGGATTTCAGAAGTTTTAAGGACTGCTCTTCAACTCATTTTTTTTTTAATTTTATATTGTATGATTTATTGTTTTAATTATACTATCATACAAGAAAAATTATATTTACCTCTTAATTTTGTGTTTTTTATTTGATTAGATTTTTTAAGTTTGATTATTTTAATATATTAATAATAATATTAATTTAAATACAGTTTCATCTTGAGACTTCCTAGTGGGCCCCTGCCTCCTGGTTGAGAACCACTGCTTTAGAAAGAATTAAACTGTAACAACTAGACGTTTATCAGCCTAGAACTGTAGTCCCTCCACTGAATGGACAATCCAGTCAACTTGACAACTTAAATATGCCTTTTTATGCAGAATTAATATAAACCCTCTGGAATGCCTTGCCTCATAGACTTTTAAAACATTTTTACTTGAAATGCTACTTTAACAACAGATGCTCTCAGTAGAACTTAACTTTTATTGAGCCCAGAATATCCTGTACTACAACAAAAATGGGCTAAATTGTAAAATTGCACTATAACAAAAGTAGTACAGTTGTTACAGCACCTACATGATTTTTTTGAATGGATTTCCAATGTTGTCATTACAGAGTCTGATGATTTAAAATTTGACCCCTTTGGCACATCTGCCGTCAGCAGTCTTGGCAGCTACGACTGGTCCGACAAGGAAGATCTCTCATCTGGTCAAGGTAAGAAACTCCAGGGAGGACTGCCATCTTCAGCTGTCGTCCAGAGGAAAGAGACGTCTTTCGGGAGCTCGGAGAACATCACCCACACCACAGTTGCCAAGGTGACCACCTTCCCAATCGAAGATGGTGGCTCCACCACCGAAAGCCGGTTTGAAGCCTTCGCTGACTTTGGCTCCATTAAGCAGGCCGGTCTAGACGACGATGATGACTTTGGAGACTTTGCCAGCACGGTTTCGGAGAAATCCGACTCCCCTCCTGGAACCATAGAAACGGAGGGCAACCAGGGTGAATTGATGGATGAGTTTGGAGCCTTCCAAGGTGACAAGCCCAAATTTGGCAAGTCAGACTTCTTGAAAGCCAGCACGCAGGCCAAAGTGAAATCCAGTGAAGAGATGATCAAGAACGAACTCGCCACCTTTGACTTGTCTGTGCAGGGTAAGTGTCGTTGCAGTATTTTAATGCTTGGATATTAACAGACAATGGGTTTCATTCACTAAGTGTGAATGTGCACAAATCTGTGTGTGAAATCAGCACACAAACATTTTCACAGATAATGATTTGCCAATAACTCCCAGTACAATATTTCTTGCTCAGATATTAACAGACACTGGGTCTCATTCACTAAGCGTGCGTATGCACAAATGTTTTCAATGATTGAAATCATGATTCACCATGAATAATGTATGCTCAAATATTAACAATGGGTCTTATTCACTGCAAATGTTTTCACGAACAAATCATGATTCACCAATGTCTACACTAACTTCAGTCGCAACGTTTTATGCTCATATATTAACAGACTCTGGGTCTCATTCACCAAGTGTGCATGCGCACAAATTTGTTTGCGAAATCGGGGGTACGAACATTTTCACAAACAAACCATGATTCACCAAAAACTCCCAATAACTAGCATTGCAATATTTTATGCTCAAATATTAACAGACAGTGACTACACTTTCACTAAGTGTGTGCGCACAAATTTACGTGTGAAATCTGCATGCAAACGTTTTCATGAACACATCATGATTTACCAGTAATGCTCAAATATAAACAGACAGTGGGTCTCCGAGCACACCTCGCTTTTCAGACCGATGAGCTTTGTAAAAATCGAAGCGTTTCAGAAAGGCGGGGCATAGAGGAGAAACAATAATGTACATTATGTGGAAAATAATGTTTTTTGAGCCTTAAAGGAACACTCCACTATTTTTGAAAATAGGCTCATTTTCCAACTCCCCTAGAGTTAAACAGTTGAGTTTTACCGTTTTCGAATCCATTCAGCCGATCTCCGGGTCTGGCGGTAGCACTTTTAGCTTAGCTTAGCATAGATCATTGAATCTGATTAGACCGTTAGCATCTCGCTCAAAAATGACCAGAGAGTTTCTATATTTTTCCTGTTTAAAACTTGACTATTCTGTAGTTACATTGTGTACTAAGACCGACAAAAAATGAAAAATTGCGATTTTGTAGGCCGATATGGCTAGGAACTATATTCTCATTCAGGTGTAATAAACAATGAACTTTGCTGCCATACCATGGGTGCAGCAGGTGGCATGAGAGTATAGTTCCTAGCCATATCAAAATCGCAAATCGCAACTTTTCATTTTCCGTCGGTCTTAGTACACGATGTAACTACAGAAGAGTCAAGTTTTAAATAGGAAAAATATAGAAACTCTTTGGTCATTTTTGAGCGAGATGCTAACGGTCTAATCCGATTCAATGATCTATGCTGAGCTAAGCTAAAAGTGCTACCGCCAGACCCAGAGATCGGCTGAATGGATTCGAAAATGGTAAAACTCAACTGTTTAACTCTATGGGAGTTGGAAAATGAGCCTATTTTCAAAAATAGTGGAGTGTTCCTTTAAACCGCATAAACACATTTCATTACACCAAATACACAAAATAATGTTCTTTTTAAGCAACGTTATATGACCCCTTTAATTATATTTCATCACATACAGAGGAAAAAGTTTTGTTATAGCTCAAGCTGCAAAGTTTCTCTGTATACTAATGCAGATAAACGTAAGTACAGAATGCCATTATATTTGCTGAGATTGACGAAAGGTTGTGCGAAGATCTTGTTTTATGGAAATTACTAGGGCGTATATGCTGATAATTTACTCATTTATAATCGTTCTTTTACAGCACTCCAAATCCATTAGCATTAATATGAGTTTAAGGACAAATTCATGTACTTATGCACGTAAGATTTTTGGTGATCAGTACTCAAATACGCAATAATCCCCACGATTGTTAGTGAATGAGCGTATTGGATCCAATGCATGTCCACAACTGCATTCTCTCTGAAAGTCAACAGATGGCAGAGTGGCGTCTGAAGCACAGGGCAACGTCAGTAGATAAACACTGCCACCCAAATCCCTCCTCACGCTCCCCTTTGCTTTTTCATCCTCGCTCCCCCATAATGCATTAGCACTTACCCAATAACATAAAAGCTTATTTGCCTCTTATTGATCCCCACCCACATCCACTAAATTTCATTTGTTCAAACAAAAGAGGGTTTACTCCTCTGCCAGCCTCCTATCAGACGGTTAATCTGAGGAGTGGGGTTTGTGCAGGAATGGATTAGCGCCTGGAACCATGCAGAGACTGATGTGCTTCCCAGCGGGGGTGTAATTACCTGTCGCTGCGTCTCATGAGTCTGTCGTGCCGCTGTCTGTCTCATTGCTTATGTGTGCATGGTGTGTATTTGTGCCAGTTTGACTGTGTGATGCCTGATGAATAATGCATGCCTGTATTACTATGCTGCTCTTTTGCACATAATTATCATTTGTTGCAAATGTTGTGGCCCCACGTGGATTAGCGACGACAGTTTGAGTGCTTCGGAAAGTTTTAATTATACAGCAGGATCAACAATTAAACTCGTGCATTAAATTTAGAGAGAGTAGTGGGTAAGATGTGTCATCCCCTTTCTCACATCATATGTTTTTGGATTGTGATGGAAACATTTTTGGCTTTCAGTTTCTTTATATGTGCAGATGTATTTAAAATACAGTTCATACATCCAGTAGCTTGAATAAACCTCTTCTGTGAAGACCATGTTTTTAGTTTCATTAAAATTCGTACTTATTTTTGGTAAGACATGTCAGGGTGGTACAACCTATCATAGTGAAGGGAAAAAAAAAAGAATTTCATGAAAATAAAAGCTTTAGTTTGAAAATATTATTTCTGAGAAAATATATATTTTAAGATGCTTAATATTTAAATAATATGCCTGCCACATCAAAGTCGCATGGTGCAACCAGCATGCAGAAGAATAAAAACACACAAAACTGGAAACAAGGCAAGGTTTTACAT